AAAAATCCACCTAGTCCGGATATTATCAGAGGAACACAACATAGTACTATCAAAAATAACTTATCGGTATAGCGATCTATAAAAACATTAACTTATATACCTAAAATTTCGGAAAAACCAAAAAGGATGTTTACTAAATCTGCTCCGAATATTCTGATAACTTAAGATATTGTAACAAAATATCCCATTTACACCGAAACATGAAAAGTAAAGAAAAGATAGAAAACCAAGCACAGGCAATCTACAAGATAAATTGAAAAAAATTGTGTGTATTAGGAGAAAAAGACTGGGTGTCTGAATAGGACAACATAAACAAGATTGCAAAAATCAAAGTAAACAAGGTATTAAATTAATTAAGGTTTTTAGTTGAGATAAAAAAGTCAATGGAACGAGCGGGATTCGATCACACGGCTTGATACGCCGCTGCTCTACCACTTGAGCTATCGTGAACTCGATCCACTCGGACACTAACTTCTCATCTCAACCCCACCTTTTGAATTTTCCCTGCTTTTTGAAAAATGGCAAAAAGGAGGGAAAATTCAAATGCGGTTGAGATGGGAAGTTAGTGTCCGAGTGGATCGAGGTCACGATAGCTCAAGTGGTAGAGCAGCGGCGTATCAAGCCGAAGATCGTGGGTTCGAATCCTGCTCGTGCCATTGAATTTTTTATCTCAACTAAAACCTTAATTAATTGAATATATTAATTGGTCAAGCGGAACACGAAATTAGTGGAAGTATACAAGGTACATGACTATCACATCATGTCCATGAATCAAAACACCTACCCGATTTAAAAAATACAAAATATTGGACAAGGAAACTGTGTCAAGCAAACGAAAGTTTAAAGAAAAGTTATACATAAAAACAACTGTAATATATAGATAGACAAGATGGGTATAAGTAATATTTATGAGAATATAATTGACTATAAAAAAAAACAGAAAAAGGTATGCCAGATATGATCCATCTTTTCACTTTATGTTCAATAATTAAATGTTGGAATGGAATTTTATCGTTTCCTAAGGTTCGCCGATATTTTATTTTATTTATTAAATTAACCACATTGGTGAAAAATCATTTATCTAATAGTTTTTTTAGTATTTTTGATATTTCATTTGTTGTTTTATGTGTTATTTACTTATTATCAAGGATTTATAAACATCTACATATGTACCTGATGAATTGTAAACTAACTCAGAATGAGGCCAATATTGTGACTTGTCAATTCGACCACAGATATTTTTTTTATATTGATTATTTGCAGATCGTGATATGTGGTCTGGCGTGACGTCGGTTTTAGAAAAATGTTTTATCGTGCCAACGTTTCGATCTTCATTGAGATCATCTTCAGGGCTCAAAGTGTTTGTTGTCCGTGTAGATGTGTGATTTTTGTGTGTCGAATGACACATCTACTCGGAAAATAAACACTTTGATCCCTGAAGATGATCTCAATAAAGATCGAAACGTTGGCCGGATAAAGAAAATGTTTTTCTAAACCTACGTCACACCAGATCGCATTTCACGATCTGCAAATAATCATTAACTAACGGTCCCACACATTATATATTTTTTCGTATTAGGGCCTGAAGATGCTGACAAATTAAAGAAAAACTTGGCATGAAGTTTGGAGTTTTTAGATTTCTGTGATCCTGATTATCACACAAACAAATGTATACAAGGTCTATCCATCTCGTAACAATATTTTAAAAAAACACCGTCCGAATTTGGATCGTATCTCTGAGGACGATTCGCGGTTAGACGAGAGTCTACGGATTGGGTGAAAAGTGAGTGGATTGGCTAGACTCCAGACACGGTAGGATGGGACCGAGTTGGAGGAAGAGAGACCGAGTGTATGTGGTATCTGGTAATTTCCACATCCGTGCGGAAACGCCGGCGGTTTCAAAGTAAAACTTTCACCCCTTCGCACTTTAAGCGACACTTGTTAATGCCACTTTCCCGATGCGGAAACCTTCTAATCAAACAGTTTCTTCGCGCTTTCGAGAAATTACACCAAACCGTGAGACGGTGTTGAAATAGAAATATTTTTTATAAGTGTCATTGGCTTTAAGAGTAGCATCAGGACAACAGTAATAAGATTGAACTGATTTACAAGTTTTGGCACTTCTAGCTTTGCGAACTCAGTGAGTTACGAAATTAAAATAATTTGATTTCTTCATCTTCCATCATCGCAGCCAGACCACTTTCTCCAATAGTGTCTCATCAGACGCGAATTTTATTTTCAGACTTTCTCGATACGATTATTAAGCAAAAATCAAATCAAACACTAATACACAAATTCCAATAGAATATTTCTCAAAATTAACAATATTTCCACAAAAGAGTGAAAGTTTTTTATTAATTATTGAATGTTTGCTTTAAGATATAATAAACTTTAATTAGAAAAAAAGATTTTAACAACTGAACGATGAATTCAGCACTTCAGCACTTGCTTTGCGAATAAATTAAAAAATATTACAGTATGTACATGAAAAACTTTTTTTGGTGGGGAGAGTCAGAAATTCCAAGGAAACGGTCCTACAAGGGGACATTCTTGGTCCTATCTTTTGTATAATATACTGCTGATCTACACACTAACACGACCTACTGGTATGATAACGAATTTTGTCCTCTAATTCGAATCCTAACCAAGATACCTCCACATCCATGAACACCTTGAGCTTATCGAATATTGGTGCAATAACTGGAGAACTGAATGGAGAAAAATGTACTCAGCGAACATTCACATTGAAAAAACGGTCTTGCCCTACAATTTACATCAGCAACAACCTTCTGCCATTCAAGTGTCGTGGACGCAGACTGTCGTGGAATCCTCACAGAAGACTTAAATTAACAAACGACTTGGACAACTACGAAGTCCTTATTCAAGAGTTACTGAGACCACTTTGGACTTCTATATACCCTGTGCGGTTTTGCCAAGCCATGCAACATCCATCGTATCAAATCCTTCCAATCAAAACACCTTAGACAAATCGTTAAAGATCCTTACAACATTATTCACTTCTATAACGACCTCAACATTTCAAAAGTTTTACACCAACTCTTGATCCATCCTAACCCTACTGCTGGAGGGCCATCTCTAAAGATTTTCATCCCGAGAACCCGCTGTGTCGCCTTAATAAACGATGGTTTCGAGACCTCCTTGCTTTTCAATTTCTTACAATGAGTATCCGTATTGGTATGTGTCTGAGTGCAGCGCTGGCATTAGTTTAGTATTGTGACCGTGTGAAAACAAGTATGGTATGGTACGGAAATAAGGATACAAGGAAACGGAGTTTGTGCTCAGCAGGCATTGCCTGGCTTATTGTACCTTCCTCGTTCCCTAGTTCAGTGCAATAGACTCAATCATACTTCTAGAAGTATCAGGTCATTGGCTGCCACAATTTCATTAGATTTTTTTCGTATGCTAGGTTAAATCTCCGATGAGCTGTTGCTTCGCATTCGAAAATGATATGGGTGGCTGTTTCCTCCTCCTCATTGCATAATCTGAAGATGGGATCATCGTTGTATATGCCCATGCTTTGAAGATGTTTCTTCAGATGCCACTGACCTGTTAGTATTCTTATTACTCCTCTGGGTCAAGCCCTCTCCATTTGCAGCAGTAAGTTTGCCAGTTTAGGTGAGGGTGTTTCATTATAAGTTTACGGTGTCTAGCGCCGCTAGAGTTTATCCACTCTTTTGTATTGTTTGGATTCATGCAACGATGAAGGATTCTATATTTGTTTTTGTTATCCCAAGTGGTGGTCTTACAGACCCTCCTCTGGCCAGGATGTCTGTTTTCTCGTTTATACCGTGACAATATCATCTGCATAGCCTTGGGTGTAGATTCCGCTTTCATTTATTTTGCTTACGAGGTCATCCACTACCACATTCCACAACAATGGCTCCTTGCGGACACCCTCTCCCCACCGCTGCTTCTAATTTTTCGCCGAACATGGAGGCCTGCACTTTTGTCATTGATTCTGTCCTTCTGAAGCAGTTTTTGCCAGTTCCTCGGTGTTTGAATGATGTAACAATTGGTTCAAAAGGAGTATTGTCTAATGCTCCTTCAGTGTTCAAGAAGGTTCCTAATATTATTTTTTGTTTGTTCAGTGAATCCTCTATTTGTAGCTTAATTGGTGTAGATTTTCCTTTCTGATAGGCAGTTGATATTTATGAAGAGGTTTTTCTTTTATAGAGTTGCCTCTATCTCCCAGAGTATTGGGGCTTCTCCAGCGTAGAAACTACCGGATCCGCTCCGGCCGAGGTTTTGTTTAAAGTGGAATTGCTAACCACCCTCCAGAGGAGACCGCCTACGGTAAAAGTCTTCTATCGAACTCAGCCAGTAACCGATTCACTACCCGTTCCCATCCGCTACTGCTCATGCATTCTAGGAACTTTTCAGCGTAATCGTAGCGTCTTAAACGCTTATACCCTGCCGTCCGATCCGCCGTATTCCGTGAGGCCGGGTTTATAACGATGGTCATACGCAAGTTTCGTGCGAAGGTCGCAGATAAAAGACAGCCTCTTCTCTAAGTTCCCGCCAGGGACGTCACCACGAACCACTACGAGTCCATTCCCAGTGTAACAGGGGCTGAACCTTGGAACATTTCTGTTACCCCCCTAGTAAAGATGGTTATGCACCCTCCCCCGTCTATGCAGACAGAATCTGGTACCCTAACCCTCATGTGCCTCTGATAAGACACCCGCCGCCCATGCCGACTCGAGGCCGACACGAGAACAGCTTAGAGAGGTTGCCACGCCCTCTGGGCTACACCATTATTTTGCGCTCTGACACCCCCCTTGTAGACAAGAGTTGGGAGGGGTCACAGGGAACAATGAAGAAACTTGAAGTGAGAGAGGGAAGTGGATGAGGACACCAGGTACACCTTTCTTGGGCCCCGAACCTTAACCACATTGTACCACCCGTCGTCGGCGTCGTAGTTTTTGGTTATTATAAATGTTATGTTATTTGAATACAACTTAATTTTATAAGAAACTTACCGGCGGGAGAGCTGACGAATTCCACAAACAAGTCTTCGCTGGTCCCGATGATGGAGTAGGGAAATTTCCCCATTCCGCAGAACGTTCCTATGACGGGGTACGAGGCGTCTTTACCGTCGTAAATCTTGATGTAGTCGTACGGGCAGTGTTCGGCTCCTGATAACAAAATACAACAATTAGTACAATGATTGAGCGCAGTATCTTTTTTATTAAAAAAACAAAACAAACAAAAAAACTGGAGTTGGCAACAGCAGAGTCATACTAATACCTGGGAGCCCGTGCCCATTTGGAAGTACTCTTGGTTCCTGTTAATTCAAGGTCGATCAGATTCAAACCCTGAATGCTTAAATCACCGTGTCAACATTCTAACCGTCGCGGCCATTTTCATTTTTCGTATCAAACTTAAAAAGAAAAATAGCACAAAGTTGCCCCGTTGTTTGGAAATATTGTTTCTTGGACGCCATGTGTGATCAATGCCCCAGAAAAAATCTCGGAATATATTTTATTGCAGCCCATGGCATTGTACAAGAAATTGGCAGTCATTTTATCGCATTCTCAGTCCGCTAAAATAGCTGAAATGTTTTTAAATTCGTTTATATTTTTAGTGCATTTGGTGTTCGTTCTGTTAGAAAGTTTATTATTTCTGCAGTCTGGTATTTCTGGAAGTTAAGATTAGACAATCCAGAGGTGATGGTGGGAACCGAACCCAAGACCGGGATACTACTACTACTACTACTACTACTACAACTAGCCGACAGTCTGACGTCTTAACTAAAGATTTTATATTAAATGGTTTATATTAGTACATTTCCAAGTTTTTGACCCGTCTGCCCGGTCTGTCTCCGCATTCATACATTATGGAGTATATGATCTTTTTGTCTGGTATTTTCGTCAATGTTTTGGCTTTGTAGTTTTCCGATTGCGTTAGTGGCCTACAGCGATTTATAATGCTTAATTTTAAAGTACAACGTACGTTATATTTTACTCATTGATTTACAACAATCTGGTAATCGGTTCGTAAGGTAAGTAACGTTGTTCGAATTATACATTTCATATTGCCAGTTGTATGCGTGTTCTTCTTACACGTCTAATTTGATGTCTAATATGTTAGTAAAAAGTTACCTTCTGCCTTGCCGTAGAGGGAAAAATCGAAAGGTTTTATAAAAACATACCGCGGTTTGAAATATCCCACGAGACAGTTCTTATAAGACTGAAAGTATTGCTGCTGCCTTCGAGCTGTATAACACTCAACGGGGAAAGAATGGCCTCGCTAACATAGAGTGATATTTTTTCCGTATGAAGTTAAACATACTTTTTATCCAGGTCCGTCATCATTCTTCTGCAATTCTCCCCTGACGTTTTCCCTGGGGTACGACAGCCTTTAAATTATTCGGTTAGGCCAATTTGTCGTTGAAGCAACGTGACTCAAAACCATTAGAATATTTCAAATGTATAGACTTCAAAATGTATAGAGATAAATAATATTGCAAAAGTTTTAGTTTATGTTATAATGAGTGGTGATTAGTGACCGTTAATCGCTATTTATTTAGAAATCGTGAGATGCGGTCTGGTGTGATGTAGGTTTCAGAAAAATATTTTCTTTATCGTGCCAACGTTTCGATCTTTATTGAAATATATTCGAAATACTTTGATTGAATATATAAAATATATTTAGCATTGTATAAATTCACTTTTCCACATCCAAAATGTAATTGTTATATGTAAACAATGTTTGTAAATCCCAGGCCCTGAAGATGATCTCAATAAAGATCGAAACGTTGGCACGATACAGAAAATGTTTTTCTGAAACCTACATCACACCAGACCGCATCTCACGATTTCTAAATATTTATGTGTTATGTCGACTCGGGTAGGCTTCGAAACAATTTATTTTCTTTAGAGGGGGGGATCGATTAAGAATTATAAAAATCCTTTCCTCCACCGCGACCTAAATACATCTATTGTGGAACCCACATAAATTACAGCCATACCTTGCAAATTGTACTTTTTACTATAAGACTTTCCTTGGTGTCTCTCAGCGCACCAGTGGGCATTGCCTTCACCATGTGGCTGTAACCCGGCTGATTCTTCACATTCACGAAGGATGTATTGATGCAGATATGTGCTGATGTCTCTGGTTACTTCCGGTGCGCCAAGTATTGGTTTTGGCCACATGGATGAAAGGGTTGCCTATTTCTTTGACAAGTTGGTTAATTTGTTCATTTCCTTTTATATTTCATGTCCGGGTACCAATTTTCAGTTGAACTTCTAGTTGTCACATAGTTATTAGAGAATTTAGACACTCCCAGATAAGTTTGAAATTGAAAGCATACTCATTTAGTGCCTATATGGCTCCCTGGCTGTCTCAGAGTATGTAAATGCTCTTTCATATTTTTTCTTTATTAGTTAGCCCAAAGTGCTTAGCCAAGGTATTAGGCCCTGTTACCTCTACACCTTATCTTTTATTCCATCTTTGATCCATCTTTAAGTATGTTTTGCTTACCTTGAGTCCTAAAAAAAAATACCCAATTTCAAGTTATCAATTTTAACAACACAACACTAAATGAAACTTCTTTTCAATTAAATAAGGTTTTGGTTGAGATAAAAAAGTCCGTGTTACAAGCGGGATTCGAACCAACGACCTTCGTCTAAATACGCCGCTACTCTACAATTTGAGCTATCGTGATTTCGATCCAATCGAACACCAATTTCCCATCTCAACCCCAGCTTTTGAATTTTCCATCCTTTTTCACCTAATAAAATGACATTTGAAAAATGGCAAAAGGAGGTAAAATTCAAAACGTGGAGTTGAGATGGGAAGTTAGTGCCCGAGTCGATCGAAGTAACGATAGCTCAGGCGGTAGAGCTGCCGCGTATTTCGCAGAAGGTCGTGGGTTCGAATCCCGCTTGTGACATTGACTTATTTACCTCAACCGAAACCTTATTTAATTGACAAGAATTTATTTGGTCAAGCGGACCACGACAGCTAATAAAAACCAAATGAAAATGTTTAAAAATGTTTATTACCGCCGGAGTAATTAATTGATTTTATTACATATATCGTAACGTTGGAAAATTTTTCATAGACCTGTGCGTAGACTTGGGCACGGCAGTGAACCCAGATCGCTGTTCCTGTACCTTAGGGCTATTACGGATTTTTAAATATAAATAATATTCACTAGTTTTCGTGGTCCGCTTGACCAATTAATATCTTTCATTTAATTGAGGTTTTTAGTTGAGGTAAAAAAGTCAGTGTCACGAGCGGGATTCGAACCCACGACCTTCGGCTAAATACGCCACTATTCTACCACTTGAGATATCGTGACCTCGATCCACTCGGACAGTAACTTCCCATCTCAACACCTCCCTTTGAATTTTCCCTACTTTTTTGCAATGTTGTTCAAGCAGCGGCGTATCAAGCTGAAGATCGTGGGTTCGAATCCCGCTCGAGACACTGACTTTTTTATCTCAACTAAAAACCTTAATTAATTGAAAGATAATAATTGGTCAAGCGGACCACGAAACTAGTGATTGTATGTTTATTTATTAGAATGAGCGTAATTTATTTGTATGGAAGAAAGGGGTAGTTTATCCCCGCCGGGGGAATGTCGACTACTCTGGGTAGTGTGTGACTTAAGGAGAGTAAAAGTTATTTATTAGCGAGAATGGAGTTGGAACCGCCCCGAGGAATATCGAGTACTCTAGGAGAGTGAATGTGACCAGATTTCTATGTTTGTATCGGGGTTGTATTTATGTTAATTTATTGTAATGAATGTAATTTATTAGCGTGAAAGGAAGGGGTTGCTTATAACCCCGGGCCGAGGAATTTCGAGTACTCTGGGAGAGCGAATGTAACCAGACTTCTATGTTTGTGGTGATGTATGTACAGGGTGGTACAGGGTTGAAAGTTAATACTGCCTTCCTGGATTCGTTAAATAAAACTGAGTTCAGGCCCACCAGAACGATGTTTTTATTTTGCCATTTTCCTGAGATATTAACATTTTTGTGGTTTTAATCTAAAATCTGATTTTTTTGCAGAAAATCGTAATTTATCAATTCCAAATACAAATCTACACTTTATTTCGCAAACTTAATTGAATTTTCCGCATGATGATATTTTCGTTGAAAAATTCGCGCTTCCGAATAGACAGTGGCCGCTGAAAAAAATAACAATCGGCAAAACCCATGTTGTCTTCTTTAAATAACCAATTGTGCTTCGTGCAATGACTTTTCAATCAAAATTTTCGGGGTTTTCGTCAAAGTTATCTTATCTTATAAGTAATCAAGGACAACTTGGAACTTTTATATTTTTTAAAACTTTTCTTAGTGAAATCTCCTTTGCGAGTAGAAAAGGTTTTTAGTTGAGATAAGAAAGTCAATGGCACGAGCGGGATTCGAACCCACGATCTTCGGCTTGATACGCCGCTGCTCTACCAATTGAGCTATCGTGATCTCGATCCACTCGGACACCAACTTCCCATCTCAACCCCACCTTATGAGTTTTCCCTCCTTTTTGCCACTTTTGGAGTGGATCGACGTCACGATAGCTCAAGTGGTAAAGCAGCGGCGTATCAAGCCGAAGATCGTGGGTTCGAATCCCGCTCGTCCCATTGACTTTCTTTATCTTAACTAAAAACCTTAATTAATTGTAATATATTAATTGGTCAAGCGGACCACAAAATTAGTGAATTTAACTGCTTTGCAAGGTTGAAAAATATGATTTCGAACCCAAGGAAAACAGCAACCCAAGAGCATAAAAATATTTTTTAATAAAAACATTTATTAGTTTGTAACAAAAATCAGATACATTCTTCTATTCTTCTTGATAAAGTGTACATAATTAAAGAAAAATTTCAATGAAAATGAAACTTCATGAAATTATGCATTTTTGCAAATTAACTGTTGTGATTGTTGGAAATGCTTTTTTTCTTATTGAATACACAAGGAAGTTGACTGCTTCGAGGACTTTTCCCCTTCTTTTCATCATTTTAATGCAAGTAATTTTATCTATGAGCCCTTCTTTTGATGAGTGTGTTGTACACTTTTCAAAGTTCTTCATATGCAAAAATCAAGTGGAGTCGAATCATGGCTCCTGGCTGGCCATGCTTCAGGAAGAATGTATCAAATTTAATGTAACCACCTTGGCAGTATTGACA